TGAATCGTAGGCGCAGACTCCTGTTATTATTCAGGGGCTAATCAGCTGCAGAAAATGCGGTGAAGTACATCGGTATATCTTCTGCTCTTTATCTTTGCCCGTTTCATTTGTTGCATGGAGGGAGGGGATCTCAATTGATTAGGTTTAATTAAGTAGATGCAGCGGGATCTGGCGACGTTTAGTCAACTGGAAATATTACGATGAATGTACTGTACCAACAATATTGTCGTCGTATTCAGCTGGCCAGTAGATCGGAGCCAGCTGATCTTAAGATCAACACGCATCGAGGTCTGTTCCAGTACACCCGACTGCCATTTGGTGTCAAAAATAGCGCCAGCCATATTTCAACAGATTATGGATACGATGCAGAAGGATGCCTCCGGCGTTACCGCCTATTTGGACGATCTCTTTGCCATGGGTTCCAATCCCCACGAACTGTGGCAGCGCCTTGATTACGTGATTAGTCGTATTCAAGAATACGGCGTAAAAGTGCGCGGAGAGAAATGCACGTTTTTCATGCAGTCTGTAAAGTACCTCGGGTTCATTATTAACGAACATGGCCGCCGTCCAGACCCGGAGAACATTGAAGCGATCAAACGTATGCCAGCCCCCACAGACTTCGCTTGCCTCAGGTCTTTCCTCGGTCTCGTAAGTCACTACAGTTCATACCTGCTTGCCATGCATCGCCTTCGAGGCCCACTAAAGCAGCTACTTACCAAGGATCACAGGTGGACATGGTCAGAAGAATCTCAACGCGCCTTTGACTCTGTCAAATCCATGCTAAGTTCCGATTTGCTACTTATACACTGCGATCCATCGATGGAAATCCTTGTGGCGTCGGACGCCTCGAACTATGTAATTGGCGCAGTGATTTCACACGTATTTCCAGATAGCAGCCAGAAAGCCATTGCACATGCGGCCAGATCCCTGTCTTCAGCCGGGCGCAACTACAGTCAGACAGAAAAGGAAGCCCAAGCGATCGGTGTTTGCCATTAGAAGTTTCATAAAATGCTCTACGGCCGTAGGTTCACTCTGCTGACCGATCACATGCAACTTCTCGCTGTGTTTGGCTGGACGAAAGGAATTCCGGCATATCCTGCCAACGGGCTCCAGCGATGGGCCACTCTGCTTCTGGGGGGGCCACATTAAGATAAAATATCAGTCCACCACCAGCCTCGGACAAGCCGACGCACTGTCCCGACTCATTGATTCAAGCAGA